CAGTTCTGCGGAGAGGTTTTTCAACAGACCAGAGGGGGCTGCCTGCATGCCATGGATGGGGCTGTTTGTTTGCGCAGCCCAGTTTCTGGCATGCCGTGGACTGGTGCCAGTCCATGGATCAAGGGTTGGAGACCCCTGGTCTAAAGCATTCAGAGTACACACCTGTATTGCTCTTCCATCTGCTAGCACTTGCTATTTTTCCATCACTGAAATTATTAAGCATGTGAAGGCAAGCTTTGACGGTTCAGCTTCAAGTCTTGTGTAAGATCTGCTATTTTCCTTAGCCAAGGAATTATTATTGTTGCTTGTATAAACACCATTTTAGAGCTTGTAACATCACAAAGCTTATGATATTCAAGGTCATTATTATGCAGAGAAAGCAAGTATAAAGTGGGCTATAAGCAGACAACATTCACAGAATTCAAAACTATCCAGTGTATGGTCTCTGAAATAGCTTCACCTATGCTTTATACCCAATGAAATTTACCACTCTCATCTATATATGCTTCAGTTAGGTTGTTTTGGGCTGTGAATTAGTATGTAGCTCTAACTGGAAATAAGCTTTTCAAAGTAACAGTCAATTGTTTGACTCTGGATAAAACACACACAGTAATGGGACTAATCACTTTGCTCAATTATTTATTTCAAAGGTTTTGAAACATTTAAGTCAGTCCATTCTATCACATGTATGAAAAAAGACCACAGATTCCACAGGTTGGGTTTGAGTGCATTATACAGCATTGTAAAGCATGGTTAGGCTGTGTGTTGTTAAAGCAATTCTCTTGTAACATTGCAGATAATTCAATCTGTTATATTTTCCATAGTACTGTATATGATCCAGTTATTCTCAATTTTAATTAAAATGAGACTAGACTCACAAGTAGATAATTGCCATGTACTGTCATGCTTGGAGAATAGTACCGTAATTGATCTTGCTTCACTCATTGCTTTTCTAAGAATCGGGGATCAGGCCCAATACTTCAGAATTTGTAAACAATGAAACTAAAAGAACCAAGAATTTTATTTTGGACTACAGAAGTTGGGCAAAAATGTGTGTGATGCCATTTGGATCAAGTGAAGCTAGATAATTGAAAACATGGGTACCTGAAGCAAAATCTAATTCCAGAAGAATGGGGCATGTGAATCGCACACGGTGATAAGGTTGTCTGTCATCTTTCCTCCAGAGCAAAGGTGCTTCTACAACCTTATTGGAAACATACTAACCTTTTTTTCCCTCAGGGAACATAATCTGTTATCTAGACCAGTAGTACATTTATATTGTTTGATTTACAGTTGAACTTCTTGGCCATATCCATTCTTCTATTTACTTCTAACATTGATGTATTATTTCCACTGTTTCATTAAAATTAATAAACAGAAATAAGATGTAACAGCTGCATGTGCAAAGTGAGGTGCTTCATTTAGAAGCCTTACAAGATGATGTATTAATGTTATGATGCATGCTCACCCTTACCACTAATACTACTGCAATACTATGGTTCATAGTGCTGAAAGTCATCAGGAATTTCAGAATAATACTGTTCTCCTATCTTCCTGGCTCAGATCATCCACTAGGGTGAATAGGACAGTTTTGAAACTGGTCTATAAATCAAATTACAGCACATCCAAATAATCAGTTTCAAGTTGGAAATGAAATTTAACTTGCGGTCATGCATAACAAGATGGCATTTTTTAATTTTAAAAAAGGAATATATTTTCAATGTATTTTTATACAGTCTACTTTTTTTAAAAAAAGTTGTGTTTTTTATTCTTGTATGTTAGAGCTTTCTAATTATTGAAGTTGTTAAAACAAATGCAGGAAATATTTGCTGCTTTTCTAACCATCCTGGTTATTTTGGACAGGTTGCTTTACCATTTGAAGAGTAACTATATTTGTGTTCCACAGACCACCTAGATAAGCTCCAAATGTTTGTTAGTGAGCAGGCAAAACTGAAATATACTAGAAAGCAAGTGTCTCACCTACTAAGTGTCATTTGCTTCTCTTCCCACCCCCATTCTTTCTGAATATGTGATGTTTTTGTGTTTTTATGCTTGTGCTGTTGCCTTAAGGGAGGGGTGATGTAAAAATTGTGTTGAACGAGAATAGCGCAGTATCCTAACACATTTTGTTGTTTTGATATGCTTTGTTTCTCGAAAAGGAAGTTCAGATACAGTTGACTGTGATTGCAAGTCTTGTACCACAGTCAAATGGTATTGATTATATTAATAGCTAATAAGGCTATTTTCTGGAACAAAGTATGGGTGAATCACATCAATTCACATTATAATCTTGAATATTGTATAAATGATTCATTTTCCAAAACAAGCTACTTCTCATTCTGGAACATTTTTAATTTTCATAACCATTTTAAGTAATAAGGTTAATAATTAATTACATCTGTAAGGATGTAGAAATTCACAAGAAGCATTTTAGTCAGACAAGACATTTGCCAGTGTAGTATATTAATATATTCAGAGCACTCGAGAATCTCATTTTCCTCTAGCAAAGAACTTACCTTAGGATTTGGTATCTTAACTGAGAAAATATTCAGTGGGAAGTAAAGACTAAGATATTTGCCTGCAAGAATGTGCATGAACCACAAAACAATTCTTTTAAACTCAGAACCATTGTGCTCTGGTTATTCTGATGAATAATTTCAAGTTGGCAATGATTCAGCAGCAACAAAACCTGAAACATTTTGGATTGTTCTACATTCTGCCTAAAACATATTCCAAGGGGCTTTATACAGCAAAAAGCACAAAAATGTGTGTTCTTACGTTTTCTAGATTCCTCTATCAACAATTATTTTTGACTCCAAATAGCCACACGGAGGCTCTGTGGGCTACCCATCTATATGCCATCTCCAGGGAAACAACCAGGATCTGCTCATCCCTATTGCCATGACAACTGAACTCACAGTTCCCTCTTCTGTACACAACTCTGCCAGCCTTCCCATTGCTATGCAACAAGAATGAATCAACAGCCCATTTGGGCAATCAAGGGCTGGATTTGAGGCTAACAATGCAGGTTCAGATTAAAATTTGAGCCCATTAGAAAACAGCTGGGCCTGTGAAATTTTAGAAACAAGTGGAGGAGATTACCAGTAGTTTTTATTTTGTTACACTATTTCATGTGGGCCTAAGGCTATTAGACAATGGTTTCTATTCTGCCCCTACTTCAGCCAGTTTCTCTATGGATGTGAAATAAATATTGCAAAAGGAGTGAATTTCACACTGAGTCATAAGGATATAGTGACTGAAGGTTAAAGAAAGCCAGTTACTGTAAAAGATAATGTATTTCATCCCTTTCCATCTGTATTTCAAGATTGTATACAACTTTTATGCCATTATTGTGTTCCACCACTATAGCACACTGTAAAGTTTTATGAGTGCATGAAGATAAAAGCTGATTTCACGTGTTATGTAAAAGCAGCCAAAATATTAACTGGAAAGAATTCAGAAGCCTACCTGCTTTTCAAAGCTCATAGCAGTGTCTTGACTGTTCTATGCCATGGACTTTTGACCCCAGGTTGCATTTTTCAAAAATATTTACATTGTAGAAAGGCTTTTAGAAAGTTAAATACTGTATAGATTGGGTTTGGCTACTAGTCCAAAGAAAAGAAGAAATAGGGGTGACATGATAGCAGTATTCCAGTATTTGAGAGGCTGCCACAAAGAAGAGGGGGTTCAAATTGTTCTCCAAAGCACCAGAGGGCAGGACAAGAAACAAGAAGCAACCTGGAATTAAGGAGAAACTTCCTAACAGTGAGGACAATTAACCAGTGAAATAAGTTGCCTTCAGAAATTGTGGGTGCTCCATCACTGGAAGAGACTGAACAGACTTGTCAGAGATGGTATAGGTTCTGCTTGAGCGGGGGGCTGGACTAGAAGACCTCCAAGGTCCCTTCCAGATTCTATTCTATTCTATATAATTGGTCATATGATCTCCAGTTTCAAGAAATAAAAATACAGTGGCAATTTAGTAATTTGGATGATTAAACATGTCATTTTCAGTATTAATACATTTAGCAGACTGCTCATCTTTTTCTGCTTTAATTTTGCAGAAATGTAATTTTTTCTCTCTATTGCCTTACTTGGCCAGCATAATTAGAAACAACCTACAAATTATCATGCTCAATCTATCTCCTGCTCAAAGGCACCTATGAATTTTATGTGAAAGTTTTAATAGCTTATAAGACAATTTGTTAAGATATATGAAAGATGAAATATAAAACTCAATGATCCAAATGACCATTGCTTCACAACAGTATTTTAATGCAATGGAAGTGTGTTTAGGAAAGTGCTTGATAACCAATTGGATATTTTAACTGCCACTCTAAGTGCACAGATTTGACATGTGTAAAGGAACGAAAGAAAAGGTGTACCTTGTTTATGCTTTCAGTTCTTTGTGACAACACTCATACGCATTTTCATTTGGCATAATAAATACTTTCCCCAACTGACCTGAGTAACAGAATCAAGAGAATTTCTTCCTATTATAGGAAAGGTAACATTAATCAAAGAGATAAGGAAGTATGTACAGATCTCTACTGAAAAGGCACAAAACAAATCAATGCATGCTTTCGTTGTTTGCCCAAGAGAAAAAAAAATGATGTAAAGTGCTTTAAGGACACTGATTTCATGCAAAATTGTAGAAAGCAAAAGTTAGATTAAATAAGCAGCACAGAGCAGCTGAGAAGTTGCCTTCCTATCTTCAGGGCCAACTTTCCATTTCTCAAAGGAGGCATTCATGTCTGATTTACTTTCTGAATTTATAGAGAATTCGATGAAGAGAGAAATGATGATGTACTGAGCTCATTGTTGGCATTTAAATGTGCAACTAACTGCTTATGTAAAGCAAAGCACATGTAAGCCATACTTGGCAAATATATGCATGGGGATAGTTTTTTTTTTACTTTTTAAGATACAAGAGAAAGTCTGATTGATGATGGTTTCCCCTTCATATTGAGCTCTGGTTTAAATAATAAGTAACTTATTCCTTAGATTTCTATAACCAACCTCTCTTCATCATCACTGCTGCTTACATCATCGTATTCCAAATGAGTTGGCTTATTCATTGCTTCCAAGCTTTGCTTTTGTTTAGGTAGAGTTCCAGGCAAAGGTTTAGTTGAAACTGACCTCTCAGTACATAGTCTTGATGTGAGCGAAACAGGATATAGTCTTTGGCGTGTAGGAGCATGTTGCTCTTTTAAAAAAGGATACAAGTCTCTCTCCATGAATTGTTCTGTTCTTTCTGCAATAGGAATGGGGGGCTCTAGAATGATAACATTTTTATCCTTTGATTCTAAGTTATTAAAGCCTCTTTCTGAATGAACAAAAATAGGTCTAGTAATCTGAGATGCAACGAAGTTACACAACTGGCTCTTTGTATCTTTGAATTCCAAATGATAAGATTCAGTGGAAGGTCCGTTGGACTCAGAATCCACATCTGGGCATTGTTCTTTTGGAAAGATTCCCAAGGAGCAACTATCTAGACTGCTGTTTTTTCCCGCTGATATGTTATTAGACAGTGGACAGGAGTATGTAGGTACTTCTCGAATTGTAGAAATTCTTTGAAAAAATAAGCTGTCGCTTGAGCATTTGTTCAGTCCAGATGTTCCCTACCAAACATAAAGAAGAAATTATCAGTTCATCAGTTGCTATAAACTACTAGTAATATGTATGTCACTGAACCCTCTTTCTGTGGGAACAAGAATCAGAAGCATTAATACACCCTTGATCTGCTTGAGGACTTCTTCTCAGCAGCTGATTGGCCAGAAGAGAATGTTGGACAAGATTAAGCCGACAGGACTGTCCTCTAGAATACTAACAGCATCATCTGCAAGACTGTCTTTCCCTGACATGCTTTGTGTTAAGTATCTCATGCAACTTGTCTTGTAAATAATTGTGAAATCTATATTTTCACATAAAATTAGATTCCATAAGAATGATCACAATCAATAAATCCTATTCAGAATGAATTTACTTAATATCAACTGAATATATTTTGCCATTGACCCATCATAAATGCTACAATAATGCAATATTATACTATTCTTTCTTGGTACTAAATAATTGGTAACAAGCAAAATGTATTCCACTCAGTATCCAATAGTTTACAACTCTCTAAAGTTATTTTTGATAGGCTCTTTAATCTTGTCTTTCCAAGTTCTTCCTACACAATCTTCTGCATTCTAAGGATACTTTTTTTTTAATATGGTCTATTAATGCAAACATCTTATTTTGTTTGATGGATTTTAAGCAGATATTACTATCCGTTGGTGAACAATCAATAACCCATTTGTCAGATTAACATGAAGTTACCTGATTTAGCATGGGAAAAAAGTGTCATACATAAGTTACTCCTTACTTGTTTCATCTCGTCCACTTCCAAATGGAAAGCTGCTTTATCCATTGTGCTGTAATGTGGCTGTTGCAGATTTTTGTCATTTGCTGTTTGGAAAAAAAAACTTTTATAAACAAGATTACTGATGCTCATACACTTACCCGTTTCTCAGAGAAGGGTAAATACATGTGGATTTTGCTTAAATCTGATTTCATTATTAATACACTTGAGAAATTGAATAATTTACAGGCCTCTCTTTAATTTTAATTAGTTAGATATCTTTACCAATTTATCCCCAAAGGGATCAAAATGGGTTAAAATATAATTCTAATTATGACCTCAGTTACGGTCATAAGCTTAAACAAAAATTTTAAAGATCAACATTTAACTGAAACCAGAACGTTTTCTGCTGGAATGAATGGACCATCATTAGGGAAAAAAACATGGGAAATAATTTTTAAATGATTACTGCTGCAAGACTATTATATGTACAAAAATTAGAAGATTCTGAATTAACCCACAACAGAGGAATGGCTGGTGAAGATGACAGAACTAGCAGAGATGGCAAAACGAATTTGTTTGATAATATATATCTTCATTTACCAGTGACTAGAAACCACTTATGGACTTTTTGTTGGAAAAAAAGAAGTGTGATTGATGGGGTGATGATTAGAAACTGTAACTTATTGAAAGAAGGAAATTATGATGTAACCTGAAAGTGAGCCAAGCAATACACTTCAAAGCCTAAAACCAAGTCCCAGGTATAATTCAAAGAAAAACTGCACAGGAATCCTGGAGCACATGCAAACATAGAAATTCAGAATTAATATCTTCTTATAATAGCAGCCATATCACTGTCTTGATTATCTACTAGCAGGTAGTATACACTTTCAACATTTCAATTTGCTTTAACCTGTCTTCAAGTCAGTTTTTACTCCTGGCAACTGGCTGGGCTAGTCCCTGCAGTCTTTTTGCCAAGATTTTAGAAGTGGTTTGCCATTACCTCCTTAGAATTGAGAGAGAATAACCGGCCCAAAGTCAACCTGCTGGCTTTATACCTAAAGTAAAACTAGAACCCAGGGTCTCCTGCTTTCTAGTTTGTTGCTTTAATTGCTATACCAAATTCTATAGTTACAAATATCTTAACAATAAAGAACATAGTAAAATATGTTTAGGATGAACTATCAGGTTCTGTAGGATGACTGTTAAACCCAAGAAGTCTGGGCAATGCCCTAAGGCAGAGGTCCCCAACTCTCGGTCCGTGGCATGCCAGCAACCGGGCCACACAAACAAAGCCCGTCCTCGGGATGCAGGCAGTACACAAAACCACGCCCCCTCTGGTCCACAGAAAAACCTCTCTCCACATAACCGGTCCCTGGTGCCCAAAAGGTTGGGGACCTCTGCCCTAAGGGTATCCTACAATCTGTTGGAGTCTTCAAACAACGGATTTTCAGGACAGATGTTGGAGAAAATTCTTAAACTCTGAATAGCTTTCCTTACTCTTCATTTTATTTATATCCTGCCTTTCATTTAATAGATCATTGTCAACGCTGTGACAATGGATGTTCCAGCTCTGACAACTGAGGGAAATTGCAGCCATTTTTACTCTGCTTACATCTTGCTTTTTCTGCTGTTTAGAAATCAGATGTAGAAAGGGGGATGGGGTGAATGCTTGAGCTCAGCTAGCCATAATAATAATGCAGCTTCGTGGGAACTCAAGGACACAAACCGATAACGTTTTGACGGGCTGAGGAGCTGGAGAGGGAGCCCACACTTCAGGCTAATTGGAGAATGTGATTTATGACTCTTCATGGTGGGAATTGCAACTTGTTACTTTGTATGGGGGGGGGGAAGATAATTTAGTTTTGGGTTCGACTATGTAGTGCCGATACTGTGTTTCCTGAATAAAATGTTCTTTAAGGAAGAATTCTTGCCTTGAAGTTCTTTAATGGGTTTCATTTATCAGAACCATGACAATCGTGGCAACATACGGAGGACTCTCCCCCATATTTTTCCCATCAACAATAACATTGTGAGCAAGGATGTCTGTCTGCAAGATATGCTAAAAAAAATCAAGAGGCCACAAGGATACAATTTAAGCTGCTCGGGTTTTTTATCTGTGCTGCATTAAAAACAGACAGAACTTTGATCACATTATGCCAATCAACCTGATCTGCAACCATTCAATTCTGCCTGTGTCGTATGCTAGATCAATGGAGAATGACTGCTGAAAGGCAGCCATTGAGCCTTGTATGCCTGCAATTATCTCTCACGGGCATATTGATAAGCTTTGTTCATAGGTTAAAAGTCCATCAAAAAGAAACCATTAGATTGAAGAAAAAAAATGTGAAGATGGCCAACATCATGTAGTTTTTATTTTCTATGTTACTCTTGTCACAGCAAACTGAAATATGGATACCAGAAATAAGTGCAAGAAGCAGTAATTTGTAAATAAAAAGACCCCACAAATATTAAGGGGCAGCTGCAGAAATTTTTGTCATTTTCTATTTTCCTTCCTATCTGGCTTACCTAGTGAAGTTGTTGGGAAACAATGGCATTTTCCACAGTGCTCCCAAATGTCAGAAGTGTTGATGTGGGAATGCTTTCTGGAAGTCCTCAAGGCCCAGCATTGCTTGCTTGACTTATGGCTTTTGAGAAGACAATGTCTTTGTGCATGATGATCTTCATGTCTATATAATGAAATCTACAAATTAATGTTATGTCTTTAGAACATCCTTCAAGCTCACATTTCATAACAAATATTTAGTATTGCTTAGCTTGCCAAACTTCAGTAATCCAGAAAAAATAAAGAATATTCCTTCCTGCACAGTTTGTCTCAAGGGGAAAAAAATATGTTCAGTGTAACCAACCATAATATTCAACAATCAGCTTATTAAATTTAACTGTTGTGAATTTTAAAAATGCCTATTTGAAACAAATGAAATTATATCTCATTAAAATGTGGTTCCATTTTTATTCCTACATTCAAATCTCCTTGATGATATAATCTGTTTTGGCTGGTTTAAATTGGTTGTGCTGAAAAGCAAGTTCTCATCCAAAACTAAATAGCCGTTCTGTCTTTGGAGATTTCTATATAATTTTAACCATGTCTAATATGACATTTTTTTCCTGCTACAAAAAAATTCAGCTACCAGTACACAAGCCTAATGATTTTATCCAACCTCAGCAAGGCTTTTTTGGAACAGTTTTTGCATCAACTTTAAACTTCAGCAGAAATAAAATCATTTTTTTCAAATACTAGCATTACAACCCACACGGATGAAATGTAAAAACAGAAGATGTCCTATTTGATGTTTTCAGCATTAAAATATCTGCTCTTTCTTCCCTGCCTGTGTTCTCATTTTCCTATTAATATTTCCATTATGCTTTTTTGCAAAGAAAGAAAGAAAAAAATATAGAGAGAAACCAAATAATACAGGTAGTCCTCGAGTTACCAGTGTAATGAAGCCTGCATATCCCACCCGTAACTCAAAAACCCGTACAGTGAATCTCGTACCTCGAACGAGATCACTCCCTTGCTCGTTAAAACGTACATGGCTCGTTAAGTGCACATGAGGTATCTGAGGGTGGGGAAGGCCATGGGGGGGGGCTAGTGATGGAACAGGCCCCCAAGGCTTCCCCAACCCACTAGGAAACCTCATGCTTCTCCCTCCATTCTTGCCGCACCGGACTCACTTACCTTGAAAAGATCCATCTCCTCTCTGCCGCAGTTCCTGCTTTTGAGGGACAGGAGAGTCAATGGAAGCCCCTGGGTACTGTAATATCACGCGAGTTCAGGCACTGATTCTTTTTTGCAGAGAATGGGTGCCTGAATTCTCGCACTGTTTGCGGTGCTGCCTCCTGCTTTCTCCCAACTCCGGAGCCACTCCGCCGCTGCCCCCAAAATAGAGATGGGGGGGGCTTCTGCATGCCTCCGGAGGTTGTATCCAGCCCTCGGAGGACTGCACCAAGCTGCTGCCGCCCAGAACGGAGCTTCCAAAAGCCTGATCCAAGCCTCAAAGGGGTTTTCCTAGCCGTTTGCGCCAGGAACGGAGATTGGGGGGGGGCTTCTCCATGCCTCCGGTGGTTGTATCCAGCCCTCAGAGGACTGCACCAAGCTGCTGCCACTCAGAACAGAGCTTCCAAGGGCCTGATCCAAGCCTCGGAGGGGTTTTCCTAGCCATTTGCGCCAGGAAACAGGCTGGACGCGTGTGCGAGGGGCCTGGCCTTCTCCCTCAGTTGAAGGCTTCAGGCCTGCCGTCAGGCAGAAAGCAGTTAAGGGCAGGAGCAGGAAACAGGCACCTTTCGCATAGAGAATGAATGTTTCTGAGGTCCGTGATTTGGTGCAACTTCAAACACTCGCGCAAGATCACGGACTCCAGAAACTTTCATTCTCGGAGCAAAAAACATTTCCAAGCCGACTCTCCTCTCCCTCAAGGGGAAAGAAACCATGGCAGAGAGATAAAATGTATGCCATGATGCAAAGGCTAAAACTTAATTACTTCTAGCACAAGTAGGATAGGATTTCTGTCATGATGTTACTGTGTGCAGGTTACTGTATTAAAGATGTTTGTCCCATTGCCCCTTGACATCAATAGGTTATGAATACTGAGACAGATGACATCTGAAGTCACAACATAATATAGTGTTAGTACTTCTATAGCACAATCCATGTAAGTGTCCCATTTTCTAAAATAAAATTTTGAGAAGTTCTCCACACAAAGTTTTTCTATCATATTGTTCAGCTAGAAATGTTACTGATACTCAAAAGAAAAATTGTTTTTCTAAGACTAAGGCTAGACTCCGCATTTCTTACCGCTTGGGGCTGACCTTCACCTTTATCCTTTTTAAGTTTCTCTTTTCTCGCCTTTTGTAAAGCTTTTCTTTTTTCTTTTCTAGTTCTGGGATGTTTTTGGAGGCTTCCTGAGCACCAGTACTTAAAATGTACCTCTGTGAATGAAAGAAATGAGTAAAATTGCATGACAAGTATCAAGTGTAAACAATAGCACAAAACATGAAAACAGTGGAACAGTGTGTCTCCTCTCAAAAGAATGTTGGATAGAATTGTGATTGTTTTGTTATGTTACTATTTTGTATTTATATATTGTACTGTTTATTGTAAAGACTTTTTCCCCTTCTCTGATGTCTTCTTTGATCTGATGTTGCATACCACTCCGAGTCACAGTGGTTGAGTTGGGCAGCCTATTAAATCTTACAAAAAAAACCATCTCCGTCTTGTGAGAGCCACCATGGCACGGCAATGCTGTCCTTATAATCCTAGAAAAAGACACGTTTATTCTTCCAATTTTAAATGTGTTTTCTTTTATTCTAATTATAGCACACATTATTCATAAATATCTCATTTTTTCAATGGAATGAGAATGGTTCTCTGCTTTCCAGAAGAGCACCCAGAGGATCAGAACGATGGGACTCCGTCTTCCCACTGCCACATACCTTCTTCTGAGGTGGCTGCAAACTGATTGTGGAAGAAATGGGGTATTCAAAGGCATCTCTAATGTGGCAGGAGGCTAATTTCTATAACGGACAGTTCACAGATTGTTTCTGAGTTAGATAAATGTCAGAGAGAACCTCCCTTCTGGCAAATTGGGTGAGTTGAATGGCTAATGAATTTAAGGTGATCATGATCATGATAAATACATAACCTTTGTGGCAACATATTCTCAAAACTCCAAGAAAGATTACCTACATTGTTCTAACCTAAGTGTTCAACCTATAATCATCTTATTACACTGAATCCACAATCTTCAAATCTATTACTAATAAGGTGGTACAGCAGCTTCCTCTTAACCAGCATTCCCATTTTATTCTAAAGCTAAACCATAATCATCAACAGCATCTCTCTATCTAGGAATAGGAAAAGCATAAAGCCATTACCTTCTCTGTTTCCTGCCTTTGTGGAGAAGAGACCAGAGCTTGAGGGTTTTCAATTCCCCAGCCTTCCCTAGCAGCCTTCCCATGGCTTTTCATTTTGCAGATCGACCGTCCATGTTTTGACATGAAGCTTTCATTCATATACAAAGAAGAATATGCAGAATCTTTCCTTTCCTTTTGCTCAATAGGAAGAGGGAGGCTTCTTGATAGGCAACACCAAGTCAGCTGAGGCTCCGCACTTAGAGTTGGGAAGGACAGATTCAGACTTGGGATTTGTAAGTTTCCTGCATGAGATTCTCTGCTTAACGGGGGCTGAGAGAAAGTCTCCTTTGGTTGAGTACACAGCACATGACAATAAAGCATACTTGAAGAATGGCAAAGACATTTCGGACTATTAAGTGAACAGGAGGGCAATTCTTCAAATCCTGGCAAACGGTTAGTCTCCAATTGCCATTCCTTGGCTTCCTTCTCACTACTTTCACACAAAACTGCCCTTTCCACCAATGAAGAGAGTGAAATTACTGAACTCTTCGCTGACTGTATTAACTTTAAGGCTGAATTTTGTCCAGTCATATCTGATGATATGAAAAGCCCTCCTGTATAAATAGTGGTAAAGCATACTTTCCTCCCAGGAATGTGTGATGTGCAAGCAACTATACATTCGTCCTCTTTTGTTATCAATCTTTGATCACCTAAGTTGTCTCTACTGTCTCCTTTACATGTTTCTTTAACTTTCCTGCTTGCACTTTGAAGATGACATTCTTGATCTCCCATGGTTGTAATTGTTGTTGCTTCAAGGAGAGCTGGTGCAGAAGGTACCAAAGGTGTCCACGTTGTGTGCACGTCCCATTTTAGCTCTTTTCTTCTAGCTGAATGACTCAGATCCAATTGCAAAGGGCACAAAGATATATCAATGGAACTACTATCAAGCAGTTTATTGTTACAGGCAGGATATGGGGAAATGGTTGAGCTGCTTGGCAATGTAACATATGGTATATTTTCTGGCTCTCTTGTAAGAAACAAAGGCACACCTATATTGTTTCCTTCCTGTGAATATTTTAAGATGTACTTTGGAAGAAAATTGTTTTTCTTTAGATGAGAAATCACTTGATTTCTTACCACATGCTGAGTGTGGGCTGGTGCGGAGTCTCTACAGTTTGATAATTCTTCTGTTGCTGTTGTTATGGGAGATGTCAGCTTTTTTGTTGCAAACAAATCACTGGTGTGTTCCTCTGTTACATTGGTCTCGAATTGTTCAGCAAGCGACGTCGCAGATATACTTGCTGTATCTGTTTGACTTACAATACAATCCCTATTATTAGATACTGTTATAGAGTGTTGGATTCCTTCCTCACACTCCATACTGCTTCCTGAAGCAGGTGTTCCTACCATTACTGTCCATTTTTCTCCCTTACCTGAATGCTCTGCTGATTCTGCAGCAACTAAATTAAGATTATAACAGTCTATCAGTTTCACAACCAACTCGGTTGAACAACTATTTTTAAATGTTATGTTTTCTATGTTTTTCAGTGTATCCACCTTAGGCTTTTTTCTTTCTGAGGGTAACTTCTGAGATTCATACACTAGCTCACTGGCGTTGCATTGTGGTGCTGATAAATCTGTGTGTCCAAGGTGGGCAATTTCTTTCCTCCTGCATCCTTTTCTATTAGCTTCCGTATCCTCATATTTTTGTACACATTCAGTAATGTGTCCATCTTCTAAGTCATGATCATGCCGAGTAGCAAGGTTCAGCTGAGTTTGCTTAAGTTGGACTTTCAATTTACAGCCTTTACTTAGAGGCAAAGCTTTACTATTGCCACTCTGGTTGTGTTTTGAAACATGCAAGTCTCTGCATTGATGTCCAGCAAATGATGTTTCACTTGCCATGCTGTGTTGTTCACAATCACCAACTGAACACGTTTCTCTTAATTCTGCCAATCTTCTTGAATTCTCCTGAGAAAAAGCAGGGTGACAAACAGGGCTAGCTTTGGAATGGTTTTCCAATGCATCAGGATTTACCTTTGCAGTAACATCTGCTAGTGATGAAATTACATTTTCAGTTAGAGAGCTTCTGCCTTCTCTCGACAATGTAATTTCCTCCCCACAGGCAGTTTCCTTAGTATCTGAATAAATGTTTGAAACATTTGTTAAATTACCTTTTTGTTTTTTGGCTGATTGACTCCTTTTCTTTTTCTGATAAATTTTCTTAAATGACTCATCCCCATAAACTTGCCATTTTTCCTGAGAAAACATTTTTAATTTTCTTTGACTTGGTTTCTTATTCTTGCTGTTCACTCCTTCCACCCCAGCCTCAGATTTTTGTTTACCTTTTTTCTCCTCTAAAGAGGACGAAGATTCATTCATATAATTTAATGGCACATCATCCACTGCCACCTGTCTAACAAGTGCCCGGGGGTGGCTGTTAAGAACATTTATCATATTTGTGTCTAAATTGCTGCTATGCAACAAGCCAGAAAAACCCACATCTGGGGACACTCTAGTGAAAGAAGATAATTTTGAACTATCTGCCTGGTCCTGTGTCTTCCTTGTACTCTCAATAAAAGGCAGAGAGTTACTTCTTGTAACAGGCACACAGTCAATTGTTGTTGAGAATTGAGTGGGAACTGAGTGAAAAAACAATGGCTTAGTCTTTTCCGCAGGATTAAAGATAGACTTGGCTGAGCGCAGAGAAATATTCTTTTTCTTGCTGGTGTCCAGAGGCCGTATATCAAAATGGAAGGAGTCTTTATACATGTACGGCATTGGCAAGTCAATGCTTCCTTGTTTGGATAGAACTGTTTTCCTGGGCCTAACACTGTCCAACTGGGTATCATCCACAACTGCTTTATTATGAGATATTAGCCTTGAGATATGCTCTTCCAACCTTTTTTTCTCCAGGGTTACGGTTCCTGTTGCTTTCTCAGTTGAACCTACTTTTGAGAAAGTGTAGGTCATGCATTTATTGATGACAGCCACATCATCTTCTGACTCTGTGCTATGTTCACAAAGACTGTGCAGAAAGCCAGGCGAAGGTGTTTGATGTTCCACACTATCAGAGCGTGACAGATAACCCGAGTCGGTGCTCTCACACTTTTTTAGCTTGGTGTCCACAGATCTGCTGTTCCACAGCTTCTCTGAATACAGAGCTTGCTGTCTCTGTAGTTGACTATGTTTGCTTCCTGTTGGAGACCTTTGATCCTGGGTCTTCTTTCTCTGAGGTAGATCTGTGGTATCTCTGGTGGTCTCTTTTTCAAAGACATTCTGATTTATTTCTCCATGACAAGAGTTACCCGTTTTCATCCTCTGACTTTCCGAAACAAGGAGTGTTTCTGATAACGAAGTAGCAAGAATATGTTTGTCACTGAGCTCTGAAGCAGCAGATCTAATCCTTGCACTTGGCTGGACATCACTTTTATCATGAGATTCTGTAGTCTGAGTGGATGCAACTATCTCAGTCAGCTTCTCATTCTCTTCTAATAGACTACTGCTATCAGATTCTGAAGGCACCCTGGCATTATTGACATGTGTCTGAGTTCTCCTGTGTTTATACAGATTGCTTTGAGTTTTAAATGCAATGCCACAGGTTGTACATGGAAAAGGCCTCTCACCTGTATGTGATCGCATATGTTTCTCAAGGACACTTGGCTTCAGACAGTCACGCCCACAATGTTTACAGAGGTACCTCCCAGAACCTTTGGTCTTCCCTGGGCTTCCAGCTGGTGCACATGGAGAAGAACTTTGTGGCAAAAGTGAAAAATGACTAACTATGTTTATTGTACTGGGTTGCTTCTGAATGATTGCCTGAAGTTGATCTGTCCCTTCTGAATGCAAAAGTGGATTGAAGATTAAAGGTAAATTACTATTGTCTAGGTTGATATTTGTCTGGACTCTGGAAAGTTTATGGTTTGATTGAACAGGCTGGTAAAAAGGAATAGTAAGCGCTTTCAAATATACAGTTTGAGCAATTGCTTGTTCTGGCTGGAGAATCATGGGACTCAGTAAGAGATCTGATGCTGCTGGAATGGCCTGAAGGCAGGAGAGTTGAACTGGTGGGTCTTCTAAGGAAGCAGGTGGACAAGGAAGTCTCTGACCTTCCATTTCCTTTAGATGTTCCAACACTGTATTTGGGCCTGTCTGTGGGGAATACAAAGAACACCTACATTTGAAATCTGAACACATTTTTCCTCGCTTTCAGAAATAGGTCGGGACTACATTGATGCCAAGTCACTACATGGGCACAAGTTAACCGATATATACATTCATCAATGATGAATTTTTTAAAGTATTTTCTCTTAAAAGACATCGCAGGCATACAAATTATTATCTAATACACATTTCTACATACTTAGTTTTGGGATCCACTATGTCGTAAGTTGAAGACTACCTGTATAAGGTTTTATTATTTTTATTAAAATAAAAATTGTGTTGTGATATATTATTAGTTGCTTATAACAAAAATGAAGATACCGTGTTTCCCCAAAAATAAGACCTGTCCCAAAAGTAAGCCCTAGCTTGATTTTTTGCGTGTGCACCTAATATAAGCCCTACCCCCAAAATAAGTCCTAGTTAAGACTCCGCCCACTCCATCTAACCATCTGGTTGCATGAGGTGAGGCGAGGCACATGCGTAAAAATCAAGCTAGGGTGGGGGTGGGGGGGTTGGAGCTGTCCCTCACACCTCGCACCTGTGCACCTCGGCCCCCCAGCAACCTCCCCCCGCCCATTCAATGACCCGGTTGCCGGCCCGCCTCTTTCCTTTCACTCCCCTCCCGAGCAGGACTGCGATGCTATGGAGGATGGGTGGGGGAGGCTCGGTCCCCTTACCTGGTCCCCCTCTGCTGTTTCACAGCCAGGGGGCAGTGACAGCAAAAGGCCTCCGCCACTGCACATCAGCTCCGTCCACCGCTGGAGGGACTTTCTTCAGTCCCTATCAACCCTGCCCCGCAGATCATCTACCCGGCAGCTGTCGCCGCTGCCTCCTCCTCCTCCTGCCACTTTGGTCCTACGGTCTGGTCCCCATTCACCATTTCAATGGTGACAGAAAGCCAAATGTTCAGGCACCATTGGAGGGAAATGAAACTTAAGGATGGGAGCAATTAAAATTGAATCAATACACCCTCTTCTACAATACAAATAGACATTGGCAGCATTCAATTATCAATATACTTGAAACCATCATTCAAGGGCTCCTTTTAGTAATCATCAGTTACACATGACTACAAATAAAAGATTCTCAAGAGAGGATCAGGTTTAATGAACCAAAGCTCAAAGCACCTTTTGAAATAAAATGAAAAATAATAAAGGCACAGCATAATTATAATAGATATTTAAAAGTCACAAATATTACATTATAATACTTAATAACTAGGTCATTCTAAGCTTAATATGCAATATAATAATGAATCCAGGCAAGTTGTATAAGTGTTGGCTTTTAAATAGAGTGCAATAGGAGTGATTTAAATTGTGCCAGGTTCCCATTCAAATCCATACAGATGAAAATTTACATTGCATATATTTTGAGTAGCATTTTGAACATGAATTACAGCAAATATTTTCCTGATAGATAAGCAAGAAACAATTCTAAAAAAAACCAATAAAATGAAATATTGTTGCAATGGAAACAAGAGAGTTTTCCATATACTCTGCAATTATTGGTCAGAAAATGTCTAGAAATATTAAAATTTTGAGTAATAACTGAATGCTGGCAGTGCACCTGTTGCTTTTCAAAAAGTCTCTATTAAAGATATCCATACGTTACTATCAGAAGAACGTATATTAACATTCCTGTAGACTTAAGTTTTTCTATTGAAATATTGGCTCTTTCTATTTGTTCATAAGGAAGGTAGGCTATGGAGGCCTATCACTAACTATGGAGGAGAATACTAGGAAAAGGCGCATCCCCTGTTAAGAGAGGTGGTAGCAATAGTAACTAAGGAAGGCTAGCCAGTATGTACAAACTCAGAAGCTTCCAGGAGAAGAGATATGAACCCTCTAGGCCAGCCTGTTGCTACAATATGTAGAAAAAAATCTGGATATCTTGGACTATCAGTAGAAAATCTGATTTTATGCACTTCTGTTTGTCATGGCCGTGAGGCCCAAGAGAGCAGTACAGCTGCATCTGGTCGTTGTCACCCATTTAGCACTGCCCAAGGAGCACAAGTAGTTAAGAAATGCTATAGGCATGGGTGTATTTATTGAATTTACTGACCAGACTGGCTGTTAACATTCTGGGGTGATGATGCCAATACCCTAAGAACAATAGCCTTGGGTTTGGTTTATTCCCCAGCTGAATATTGGGCCAGTGTGTGGCTTAACAGCACCCACACTCAAATGGTCAATGTTCAACTTTGCCAGATAATATGTATTATCTCTGGAACATTGTATACTATTCAGGTACATTGGTTACCAGTATTTAACAATATCAAAGCGCACCACATTAGAAGACAACAAACTCTCATTCAACTATGGTCAAGGATGCTGAACAATAAGGCCCGTCCTGTTCACCAGGGCAATGCACAGCCCATCACAAGATTGAAATCCCGTAGGACAGCATGGAAAACACCTATTTACATAACAT